TGATTAGCATTTTTCCAACAAACTTCCTGTTAAGTAATAATACAAATTTACCGGACTCAAAGACACTTTTAATGCTCGATTTTCTCAAAAGATTTTCACTCACTAAGTTCCTATTCATATCCAGAACATGTAGTACATTTGTGAGAGTAACATTTTTCTCAAAAGTGAAGATAACTTCTACACTTTCTTTTCCAATTACTTTGGACCGCACCTCGTTATCCATTTGGATCTCTAAGTCTCCATCCACTTCATTGTATGTTTTGAACAAAGATTTATCATATGATAGATGCACCGTGGCACAATTATCATACCACCAGCCAGGAACCTTTCCCTTATTTACATTTATTTCGCTTACGGTGGCCACAATCTTGTCTTGTTGGATGGAATTCACTTTACCCTTGGAGTTGTTGTATTTTCGGTGTCTACAATCTTTTGCGTAGTGTCCAGATTTCCCACAAACAAAGCATCCTTCTTTGGTCTTCTTCTTGAACTTATTAAGGTTCTTTGAAAGCTTCCTTTTGTTAGATTTTGTTGATGGTTCGAAATTTTCTACAGCATTTACTTTGGAAGTGCCCTCATGAGAATCACTTTTATCATGTATTCTCGACTCTTCCTCAATCCAAAGATATTTTTGCGGTTGTTCTAAAGAATAATTTTCGGAACTATGCATTATCTTCTTTCGGTATTCTTTCCAAGTTTCGAGAAGTTTGGCAATTATAGCCCCCCACTTGAAAAGTCTCCGGTATTTCAATTTTCACCGCCTTCAACTTATTGACAATTACTTGTATTTCATGTATTTGGGAAGAAGAGGAATGTTCTCTAAAAATTTAAAATCGAAGTACTTAGAAATTAAAAAAAAAAAAATTATACCTTCTTCTTTCGCTTTGTACTTATTTTCGAGCGCATCCCAAATTTCCCTTGCTAAAGTTGTGTTTGTATATAAATCATACAAACGATCCGATAATGCGTTGAGAATGTGACCGCTGCATATTAACTCATCTTCTTGGTACTTTTGTCTTTCATTTCTCACCGCTTCGATTTCTCCATTTGTTAATTCCGGTAGTGGCGCCAATTTTAGATCTAAGATGTAGAAGATCCTTGGTGCAGTGAGAAAAAACTTCAATTTGTCTTTCCATCGAGTGTAATTTGTTCCATCGAATCGATCTAACCGCACCAACTCTTGATTCATGAGTTTGATTGTCACCAACGTTGTCTCACTTTCCATTGCAGAGATGTCGTTTGAGATTGTTGGAGAAATTTCACTAGATTGGAGTAGAAATCACAAAATATGAATCGAAAACACCAATAACAAGATAATCATGAATTTGTATCAACGAATAGCTTGAACACGATATCATTGTCCTCAAACGATATTTGCCTTTTCTCCTGTGAATTTGCGATGCTTCGAAGGTTGTTGACAAATGGTTTGCAGGATTATAACAAGCCTTGCAAGGATTTAAGCATCAAAGCACAAGGGCAAATCCTAAAAAACTCAAAAAAACACAAAGAATGAATATGAATATGACTTTTAAAAACTTTGATATTTGATTTTGAAAGTAATCTAGAACCTTGATGTTTTTGTGATGTTTTTGCCTTCAACATTGATCCAATATATATAGGCATACACCACATTCACGAAATGGTACCAAACTTTAAACCAAAAGTCGCCAAATTTGAATTAAACACAAGAGAAAACGGCCTCCAACGACTAAATAATTGTACCATGCGACCATATGGTACAAACCCATGCGATCGCATGGTTTGTCCATGCTGAGACCATTTGGTCTAGGCATAAGGCCATGCAGTAGCATGAACAAATTTATTATTATTATTTTTTATTGTTGTTGTTTATTTTGAACAACAAATCATAGCAACAAACGCTCAATAGATAACAAAGATATGAAACTCGAAAAAGCACTCGTATGGACAGTCTATGCAATAAAAATATTGAAGTTGCTCCATACGTACTCTCCGTGCTGACCAGTCATCTAATATACCAAATACATAGATAGTTTCATGAGCATTGAACAATTTTTATCTTCTTCCTCATACAAGAGCCATTCACTGCTAAGCAGAGTGATCTAAACATACAATATCTATCATCATATTTACATGAGAAAAAATATACACACAGAAATTGCACAAAATTGCATAAATGCCTACAATACCAGGATACAACTATAAGCAGGTGCATCAAATATTCAAGAATCACCCAGTTCCCTCGAACATTTCATTAACTTTGCTGGGCTGGCTAGTGGCTCCTAGTCATCATGCAAGAAGAGCGCATAGGAGCGAGAAGTAGAGCTTGAGGAATGGTTAATGTAAAACCAACCAGTATACACTTCTCCTTCTCCTCCAATAGTATAGACCCTTAACAGCTCTCAACAATTGGTTCTGCAGGTCATTTCGATGGAGAACTAGTTCGTCTGGAGCAAGAAGATATTAGACTATATCCGTTTTACAGCAAAAGGGAAACGCACAAATTACCAAATGAACAACTCATTTGAAGGATCGATACTCTTTATTATGTTTGGAAAATGAGTTATGTATTTCATAACAAAACTGGAAATTTTCAATAGTAAATCAAGGAAACCATAACAGGAAAGGTATGATCTCTACTAGATGACCAAGCAACTGATGGAGACAAATCCTAGTAACTGCTATCTGGAAGGTCGCTGAGAATTAATTCATCAATATGAACTTCGACAGTGGATGGTGGTTGCTGGGTTTGCTGCCTTCCTGTCCTGGGGACTCTCTACTCGGTCTATGTTAAAAGTAGTCACGAACTCTTTTTTTGTTCCTAGATTGGTGCAAAGAATGAGATTTGGCTTCCATAAGTCCATTGTCCTCAGTATTCACATATATGAATTGATAGAGTTTCATGGGAATTGTCATGAAAAAGAAATATGATAAGTGTTATTGAACGATTTCCTGCAATTCTTTCCAATAAGTAAAGAGTCTAGCCACAAGTCTTGAGACAATGGTAGCAAGAAGGAAACCGTAAATACTTGGCTTCGACACAATGATAAAATATTGCACTCACAATTAGACCATATCCCTGAGATTTGATGAAAGAAGGTGCAACAGCAGTTAATACGTTGTAATTGGTGAAATCTAAATTCAATACAAACTATCAATTGTTTCCTCGTATATATATCTTTAAAACAAAGCAGAAAAGCATGTAAGCAATAATATAGATAAATATATGTGCATGTAAGGTAAGCAATACTCACCAAAATAGAAAATAACATTTTAGCTTATTTTCTTCCTTTATAAATCATTTGGTCTTATCCAATCTTCCCTACCAAAAACATGCCAATAAAGAAGAGAAGATCAACCCTCGCTTATCAAACATCGGAATTGCACATCACAGAGCCTCAAAAATATGAATGAGAAATAATTTATGCAGATTCGCTGCCTTCACACCTAAGTGATGGGCTGGAAGGTGGTAGATATGTTGCAGGAGAGCAAAATCAATTTTTAAGCGTTTAAGTAAATAGCTACAATCAGGAAATGAAAAATCATAACAAAAGGTTTCACGTGACAATTCGTTGACAAAAAATAATAACCATTTGTACAAAAGTTTATATTGGACATTGATGCAGCAGTTCAATCGAATGAATCTGAATAATGAAATTAAAATATCCAAATTACGATTTATGAGTTATATCACTAGAAGTGGTTGCAAAACACAATGACAACAATCATAATATGAAGTCTACGGAAGTATAAGAGTGACAACTTCAGGCACAAAATCGAATTGTAATCTCTGAAATATCACCCTAACTTCCTTTAATAATAGTTATCACTTCCTACACTCGCATTAAAGAAACGGGTGACAAAAATGAGTACAATGATAAAAAGCATAAATATATCGGAAATGTAGGAAAATGGAATGCCAATAAATTTGGAAAATAGTAATATTGAGAACTCATCAGACAATCAAATTTCAGTCAAGTCTGATGTCTACTTACTACTTATTAGCTTGAACTTGATTTGATAGGTTCCAAAAAATAGTTGCTAGGAAATAGCAATCTCGTTCCCAAGCAAGTTCCAGACTTAAATGCTTGTTAATAATGTTCATCCTCTATCATTCTATCCATACCATATAACTTCATAAATTTCAGTCTTGCTATGTCACAAATTGTGCACAATTTTGCCCGAACTGTGCACAACTTGGCCAAATCATTGTCACTGACATATGAAGATCTCCAGGTCCCACCAAGACTAAATTAAATGGTTACAGTGTTTCATATTTATCCTGAAATTAACTTGTGCCAAAGTTAAAAGACACCCATGTACTTCTACTAGGGATGGCAAAAAAACTCGTTCAACCCGATACCCGTAGGGTCCCATCTTGAATGGGTCGGGGATTACCCGCCTTACCGGCTAAATGGGATGGGTACGAGATGAGGGTCATTGCCCCGAATCGAGTATGAGGCGGGTACAGGAAACATAATCCCCAACCTGCTACTGGTCCTGTTTAAATTTAATTTCAAATTTAAGTTTTTATCAAACAAAAATAATAAATTTATTATTATTTTTAAAGAGAACATAAGTTGTTCTGGTAAACAAATAATAATAGGACATAAAAAAATAAAAGCAAAAAATAAAATAAATAAAAAGAAAAAATAAATGGGGGCGATAAATGGAGCAAATGACTGGCCAGTCCCACTTTAATTCGGGTATGGATATAGGGTAAGATAACAAAAATACCTGACGGGACGGGGGTGAAAATGGCCGACCCCTCCCATACCCACACTGTTGTCATCCCTGACTTCTACCAATACACCCAATCCTCTAGATCTAAAAAGAAAAAAAATAAATGGGACGATAAATGAGGCAAATGACCTGCCCCGTCTCACTTTAATTCGGGTATAGGTATGGGGTAAGATAACAAAAATACCCGACAGGACGGGAGTAAGAATGGCCGACCCGTCTCACACCCACCCCGTTGTCATCCCTGACTTCTACCAATACACCCAATCCTCTAGATCTTCTCCATCGAACACAAGTATAGTATTGCCTACATAATAACTCAAATCGGCTTAGTTTATCATCGTTTCCGCAATTTCTGAATCATCTTCTCCATCATTAGTACTTTCAATCAGATTCTATCTCTGAGTTGCTCCATAGTTGTCTACATTGCTTCTCCCAGGTGTGCTCTGAACCAATTTGATAGGTACAAAAAAAACACGGGTTATGAATTACTGTCTCAAATTACAAGCTGAATATAAGGAATTACAATAAATTGCTGAGCATTTGAGAAGCACAAATCTTTGTTACCATTTGATTGGATCCTAAGATCTGATGCTGACAAACAAGGCAATTAGAGAAATGATGCTGGGTTTGTATAGCAGTTGTGTTCGTATATTTGTTTATAATTCTGTAAAGGATGAAGAAAGCAGAATATCTAGAAAATCATCCTTTTTTTTTTTGGTATTCGATTGAATACATACTGAAAATGTATTACAAATTGAAAATGTAAACAATTACAGATAAATGTGAGCATTCAAGAGGATCACTCTCTCCCACCAATTTCCTCTTGATTTTAGCCTAATGACAAACGAACACCCTACTCAATCCCCATACCTGTCCCCTACTTTAACTAACTAAATGGAATTATCCATGTGCCATTGGAGCCTATCATGATGCTAGTAACTTTTTTTCTCGAACTTGGCTATGGGTACAAATCTAGGAGGGATCCCTTTCTCTTTAAAATTTAGATTACATGGATACGGCTGAAATTGATCGAACTTTTGGACATGGATAAGTCTTATTAGCACATATTTTCTTTTAGAATATTAATATTTTAGATGCATTTTTAGGGATATATTTTAATTGTAAACTTCAAAACAAATAGACAACAATTTTTTTGCTAGTTACTCTTGCTGATTGAATTAATCCATTGGGGGTTGATGTGTAGCATCGAGGGGCTGGTTCGACTTGATGGCTTGAAAATTCACGACTTTTTCAACGGCCTAGTTTTTTTTTAAAATAGCTTTTAGTGCTTGAAACTAGATGACCAGGCTTCTTTAGAAGCCTCTTTTTATACTTTATCAATTAGGCACACAGTGTTTCACTTCAGCAGTTCCCGTTTGCTGGGTCTCTTTCTCCAACTCATTTCTCAACAATGGCTTTCATCTTCATGCCACATCCTCTTTCAAGTTGAGGGATCGTAGCCAGATCCTATACCACTACTGGTGTCGTGTAGTGTCAACATGAGTACTTCCTCCATTTTGGAGAGTGAGCAAACAGGCTAGTAAAGATTTCATTATGAATTCTAAATATGAAATGAAATAAATCATAATCCGATGAGCACGAAAGGTGCACAAACAGCGCCTGAAATACTAAAATCTAGTAGGATATTTTATATATGAGCAAATAAAATTTACTTATAGTTACTTCTGGGTAAGCTTCTTTGCACAATTTATCAACTCACACACCATATAAAAACGAAAGCTAAGAAGCACATCTCACTTCGTTGTATTGTTAGTAAGTAAAACCATTTACAATCTAAATTGAAGAACGCGCATCTAAATTACAAAGAATCTTATCGTTGCACAACTAAAACTAATTAAAATAGTTTCAGTAAAATAACAAAATGGACCGTAAACACAAGCCAATAAGGAAACCAACTTAAATTTACAGAAATTAATCTCTCTGTATATAATTATTAAAGTCCATGTCTCTCCGAACTCCAAATTAACTGGGGAACTTTTCTACATGTAGCATGCTCACCTAGAGCTAAGGATAATAGCCCAGCCGGGTCAAATATGAAATATCCCCATGACATTGAAATAGTCTCCAAGAAAAGAAGAATAAGAAATTACGGGGAGACCAAAGCAAAGATTATAAGTCAATGGACAGGGGGATCAGAAGATGTGAACTTATGATATATAGGGAATGACATTGATGGCATAGAAAGCATTTCATAAATCTGAATCTCTGGCTTACATCGTCTTTAGTATCTTACCTTTCATAATCCGAATCTCTGTCTTGCCTCGTCTTCAGTATCTTACCATCTTAGCGTCGTGCAATCCGATTTACTTCTGCATGAAATTTATGGACATTAATTTCTTTGCGTACTACATTAATTTCTCCGTGTATATATTGACAACTTCATGTCTCTCCAAAACCAAATTAACCGACTTCAATTTTTCACATCCATCGTGCAATTACCTAGTGCCAAAGTTAATATCCCAGCAATGTCAAACGTCCCCAACACTTTGATAAATGCACAGGAACGTGTATATAGCTGCAGGTATTGCCATAAGAAGTTTTCTAGTAAGCAAGCATTTGGGGGGCACCAAAATGCCCACAAAGTTGAGCGATTAGTGCAAAGAAATGCACAGGAAAGGCGCAATAATTTTAAGCACACATGGATTTCCTCCTATTATGGAAAGACCTTTCCCACTCATCCTATTGCTTTCAACAGCATCCCAAAAGTTCTCAACCAATCTATTATTAATAGGTCGTATTACTCTGAAGCCATACAGCAAGCAACGCAAGGCGGCAGCAATTTTTCACATTCAATGTTGCCAATAGCTCAATATGCCCTTCAGCCTGACTGTGGTTACCCCACATGGCCAAAATCTATTTTGAGAAATTCCCAGTTTATTACACCGCCTCCTAAGATGGACAATCAGACCGTAAGTATGTGGAATTCAACATTTGGAACGACCAATTTCAATGCAGGGACAGTTTTAGACATGTCTGAGTATCTCTCAGCTTCTAGTTTTGCACAATCAACGCACGACAGGAATGGAAACACTGACTTAGAAAAGAATCAGGAAGGTCTAGACTCAGGCCTGGATTTATCACTTAGGCTTTGATGACATTGCTCTTATTTCTGCAATTGTAATCAACAATCGAGAATTTCATGTTATGATCGATTTCTAGCTATTAAGTTGCCTTAAGTTTCATGTCACAGTAATAGATTCTAGTATGTTTCTTAAGTGAAAATCAAAAAGGTGCTTTTTTGTCACTTAATGCCTCAGTTTTATATGTTATTAGCTATTCCTCGCTTCCCCTCAGTTGAATTTGTTATTTGGCTAGATTTCCCCATTGTCACTAAACACCATTTATATGCTGAAGATTTGAAATGTTCTGTTATGAGCATGTGTAGTCTTCTCATTTCTCGTTGTAGAGAGTTAGTTTAAAGGGGAAAAATACACGAGTGACCTGGGAATGCTAAAATGATGCTTACCGCTTAGTAAAAATTTCATTATGATGAGTGGCACTAATGATGCACAAATGGCGCACGAAATACTAAAATCTAGTAGAAGATTTATATATGCCGCAAACACAAAATTTATTTACCATTACTTCTGCTATTAAACACCAATTGTCAATTTAACCACGGAGCGTAATGTTGGAAAGAAAAACTGATTTATAGTCTAAACGAGGAATGCACGTTGGCATACACAAAATTACAAAGAAAATCTTACCCATGCACAACTAAACCTGTATCGATAATTTCAATAAAACAAGAAGAATGCTACTACTAACACAAAACCACTAACAAAACAAAAAGATAAAATACATAATTGTTTATTTCAAATTTTACATACCTTATTTGCATCAAGTGATTTCCTATCCAATGTAAATTGACTCTGGCGGTACCATTAAAGAAACCTGCAGAATAAGAAAGGAAATTAACATCAATTCTTTACCACGTCCTGGTAAGCTTTAAAAAAATACTCATATCTAGGCATTCAAAGAGAACATGTACAACTAACCCATGCCCCCAACACTTCAAAAAGTAGACAACAAATGGCTTAAAGTTTTATAGCTTACATGAGAGGATGTAATAATCAAGAAAATAGCAATTTTCACGAATTATCAAACAATAAACACACGGAAAGGCAAAAAACTAAACCCAATTCTCATTTTATACGAAATTTAAGACATATTTCCATAGTTTTTCTGGGGTCAACATTATGTGAAACCCAAGAGCTTGCCTTCAAACTCCTTTGAATTTGCTTATAGTATCATTTCAGTCTGTTGTGGAAGTTTAAGAATTTTTCTCTAAATGGTACCTCAATTTACCTGTCCTTTCGAACCTCCAAGCACCATTTTACGTTAAAAAAAATTGTAGAAGAAATCTATGCGTTTGAAATCCGGAAACAGAATTAAAGGAAATTTTGGAACCAGAGGTGATATTGTAGGAGATAATTTGGGCTTCTGAAATAAATTATGAATAAAACAGTAGCCTAGAGTAGTACTATTTTGTTCGAATGAAATGAGGTAAGAAAAATTGTTTTAAGATTCGTAACTTGTAAATTGTAATAAGATTTAAGCTTTGTTGTAATTAATCCTTGTATACAATTTACAATTTACAGTATGTCTTAAGTACTGTTATAAAGGGGTACTTTTAAAATTAATCTGGTCAAATCATTTAAATTCTACATTGACTCCTTATCAAAGGGATATTATGAAAATGACATATTCAATGTTAAAAGACAAAAATACCCTTAAATACATTATACAATTACAAAAGTTGATTTTTTTAAAAGATATGAATACCCTTTCACTTAACAAATAAAAATCAAACACTTCATACATTTCTTATCTGTATACTCCAACACAGATAAATAAAACACTCTCATCCTTCATCTGTTTCAACTGCAAAAAATTAAAAATTTATCGAAATCAGAAGTCGAAAAATTTGTAGACATCAATCTCGTCGGTTCAGTAAGTTTATGTACGCAAATTTAATCTTGTTTTAGTTAAATTATTGCATGTTTAAATCGATAAATTGTATTTCGACATTTAATTAGAAGAAAAAAATGTAATAGATCTGTAATTTTTGAAGTATTTGACCGGAAAAATTTCATCTGCATATTATGCCGGCGCCGGTGAATCGACTGTTTGACCGATTGTTAAACAGCGGACTGTTTTGGCAGACTGTTTAACAATCGGCCAAACAGCCGACTGTTTAACAGCCGCTCGGCTGTTTGCTAACTGTTTGTCTTTCTCACTTTTTGGGTTATTTATATTACTGTTGAAATTTTTCTTGTAATTAAAAATTCGATTTCGACATGCAGATATGGTTGTAGTCCCAATTTGTTATTTTGGTGATTTTGAATTGGACGAAAAAGATCAATGTGTATGGAAATTAACAAGTGATAAATGTGGTGGTATCGCAATTTTCATATCATCAGGTACATCGTATGCAGAACTCTATATTGATTTACAGAAGAAGTTGAATGTTGATCATTCTCAGTATAACATGGAATTGAAATTTAAATTCAGGGAGCATGCATCAGTTTCGATTCCACCTATAATGATTTCTTCTGTTGATGAAGTGAATTATCTGATTGAACTGAACAATAAGCACACGACTTCTCTTTGCGTGACTTTAGTAAGGAAGGATGTCGTCAAAGATGAACAAGTAGACTCGGGAGATGAGGATCACAATGCTAATGATTTTTGGGATACGGTGGAGATAGCTCGTGAAGATGATGTGGTTATTCCAGAGATAGTTGCACATAGAATTCCCTCCGCTGCTCGTGACAACGAGAATGAAAATGCAAACACTTTTACAAACGAGGACCTGATTAGTTTATCCCGGCAAAGACATGAGTGGGGTGGCACCTTGAGGGCTAGATCAAGTGGACCGTCCTCTAACTCCTCACGTGTGGTTCCTGATAATGAGAATTTATATGTCAAGCAACTGTTTGAAACGAAGAAAGAGTTGCAAGAAACCATGCACATAATTGCACTGAAATACAACTTCGAGTTTAGAGTGAAAAAATCGAATAGGTCGTTGTTGACGCTATCATGCGTAAGTGATAGTTGCAATTGGCGTTTGCGAGCAATGAAGATGGACACGAATGAGTGTTTCGTAATTCGCAAATATACACGAGAACATACTTATGAAGTGGGAGTGTGTCGCAATGATCACGGGCAAGCCTGAGCTTGGTTAATTGGTCGAGAGAAAATGCACAAGTATCAGGATCTACGGACAATCTACAGACCATCGGACATCATTAACGATGTTCGTCGAGAGTACGGAGTAGTCATGAGCTACCAGAAGGCCTGGAAGGCCAAAGAATACGCATTAGAGGATTTAATGGGCTCGGCAGAGGAAAGCTATGCTAAATTGGCCAGGTATTGTCATAACATGGAGAAATCTAATCCTGACTCGACATTTTTTATTGAGACGGAGGCCAATAATTGCTTCAAATTCTTCTTTATGGCTCTTGGACAATCCATTCGGGGATTTCGAAATGCTATGCGACCCCTAATTCTAGTCGACGGTACAACTTTGAAATCCAAATACCAAGGCCAGTTGATTATTGCTACATGTCAAGATGCCAACATTCAAATTTACTCTCTTGCATTCGACATAGTTGATAACGAGAATGATCTGTCGATGCGTTGGTTCTTCACAAAGCTAAGGAAAGTAATCGAAGAAGTCGAGGACCTTGCATTTGTTACCGATCGGGGACAGTCTATAATAAATGGTATTGCTGAAGTTTTTTTCAATGCACATCATGAGTATTGCATGTACCATATATAAGGCAACTTGAAGATCAAGTATCGAGGCAAATGCATCATTTCATTGTTTAGGAGAGTGGCCGAAGCTTACAGTACTGAAGAGCGTAATATGTACATGGTTGAAATAGGAAGCAAATCATTCCCGGTGTGAGACTATCTAACGAAAATGGGGATTGAACATTGGGCGCGCTCATATTTTACAGGACATCGATACAACATGACGATGTCAAACAACACGGAGTCTCTCAATGCATTATTTAAGAGGGATCGAGAGTTACCCATTCTCGTACTGATTGAGAATATCCGTACGAAGCTACAACAGTGATTTCATGATCGACGTGCGGAATAACATAATTGCACAACCGTGCTAGCCCCAACACAAGAGGTAAAGCTCTTAAAGACTGCAGAGGCTGCGAGAAAGTTAAATGTTGAACCACTAGACGAGTCGCGCTTCTCTGTGGAATGTGCACGTCATACGCCATATATGATAGATTTAAGTGATGGAACATGCACTTGTAAACAATTTTAGTTAGAGAGTTTTCCATGTGAGCATGCAATTGCGGTGGCTATGTATCGAGGATTTGCAGCGAGAACATTGTGCTCTCCTTATTACACTGCTAAAAACTGGAGAGCTGTGTATGTTGAAACTATATTTCCTCTTCCAAACGAAGCTTAGTGGGAAGTTCCCAATCATATTCGCCCGTTCAATACATTGTCGCCACCTCTCATTGAACCACGTGGTCCTGGATGTCTAAGTACTTCTAGAATATCATCTTCTGCAGAGTTTTTCTGACCTCGTAGGTGTAGCAGGTGCAAATCAGTAGGACATACTCACCATTTTTGTACAAGTCAGGTTCCCCTAAATGACAGTTAGAGCATTGTGTATTTCCATTGAAATGAAAAGTATTTACATTGAAATGAATAGTATTTACATTGAAATGAATAGTATTTATACTGAAATAAATAGTATTTACATTAAAATAAACAGTATTTACATGAATAATCACAAAAAATAATTACAAATATTAAGTACAAAAAATATTTACAAATAATTTATGGATCACAATTAAATTCGTATAAATTACACGCTAATTTATTTCGCCAATTCTGTATCCATGACCGGTTGATTCCATCAACCTTATGTGCTATACTAAAAAAATTTATGTATTTGATTGCGAAAATCCCACAATCGCCCCTACAAATGAACAAATATATGTTAGTTCGGTTCTAATTACGTACAAACTGATTACTAAATTAAAAAAAAAAGATTACAAAGACTTACGATATAGATTGTCTTGTCGTCGTCGTATCCCGCACGACGGCTAGTTTGTCATCCACAGTCAAGCTCGCATGTCTAGCCATCATAGGAACGATCACAGTCATCGGCTCTAAGATCTGCTCGAGCTGTCCCTGTGTCAAACATGAACGATCGGGGTCGTACACATATATCGTTGAATTTGGGAACACGATCTCCAGTGCAATACAGTGCTGATTCGCGATAACTGGAATGTACAAATGCGTACAACCATCCCATGGCTTTTCCCCGACACTCGGTGACAGCCCGATGACCCACTCGAGCATATACGCGGGAAGCACGTACTCGTTACCTAGAAGCTGGAGGGACTGATACTCAATGGACGGCACGGAAGAACTTGGTGTTCAGTATAATGCGGCCAGGCTTGTGGAATGATTGTGGATATCTCTCAACTCGATCGCGCAACAAGTCCATGGCCATGTCGATGTGCTACATCAAGGAAAACAAAGACATAAATACTTATTTCATTTACCAAATTAAACATAACGTATACAAAAAGTAACAATAACACTTCACTTACATCGTCGGCGAGCCAAGCCCCCTGAGTGGTGATATCATGGAACCACTTGTATGCGTTTAATATCATCCTTCGGGCTATCATGTGCGTGGCTCTAGAAATAAAATAGAAAAAATATTAAACGAAGCATATACGAGTAATTCTAGTCTACTAAATCATACAATACTTACCCGGCCAACTTTTTTCGCCACTCAGTCTCGAATGCTTTCCACTTCGCATGGTCGATGTCCCGAAACAGATTGGGGTACGTCTCATTGACGAACCTCCTCCTCTTCGCCTCAGTCGTGAAGGAAGAGACGACGTACTGTGAAGGCACTCTCAACCTCTTGCCAACCACCGTCTCCAGCACGTCAACAGCTTGCTTTTTTGCCTGATACATTGCCACCTCCTCCACCCAGGGCTCATCCCCTTCTCCATCCCCTCATCTGCCACGGTCTCCGACGGGGCCACTCCCTCATCTGCCACTCCAACATCTGCCTCCGTCTCCGTCCCCGACGAGGCCACTCCCTCATATGCCTCCGTCTCCCTCCCCGACGGGCCCCCATCCTCTGTCACTACTTCCGTCCCATCGGGCTCCACAGATAAAATAAACGATTCCCATGCATCATCATCATATATGTATGACTGCCGGAGACCCCCATCTCTATCACCCCCTTGATCACCGTTTTTGTCAACCCATCGACTACCGGCTATATCACCCCGAAGTGCTGCAATCTTATTCGACAAACCTTCGACCCTTCCTACCAACTGTCGTCCCAGATCATCAACCCTCTCTATCATCTCTCGAAGCAGCCCGTCGACCTGCCCCTCTATAAATCTGCTCCAATGGGCGTACAGATCATCAAAATAGTGCCCCTGTCTAAGTGCGGGAGATCCACATGAGAGGTC